AATGCTTAGTATCTAGTTCAAAATTTAAAATGGTGTGCAGTTTACACATCACTCGTGCCCATGTGTCCTTGTCATTTTTATATGTTTACATTGCATATTGTTGCACTGGGTACAAACTCATGACAACTGTTACTAGTACTAAGTGAAGTTTACAGACACAACTACCCACACACGGGCAAGTACATGTACATGTACGCCTTTTTCTCCTCTTTTTCTAAATCGATGCACTACGGAATACCACTACGGAATACCACAACCTCAGAATGTTCGGCCACTGCTGAATATGATGAGTGCCAGTGAAACTGCCTGATCAGGGTCAGCCGACACCAGCTGTACCCTGTCCTAATGTTCACACATAAAATGTGGCCTCAAATTCCCAATACAACTCACTTCATCAAGCTTTGACCATTAATTTTCATACTGTAAGCATGATAATCTATAAGTGAATTTATTAGAACAGTTCCGAGGCTCATCAATTAGCTACCACAAAATGAAAAGTTCACCAAAACAAGACGCCGGCGAATGTTTACTGACTGGCTGATTTACAAGCCACAATGAGAATCCCACGGGAGACTTTCCACATGCGTTCTAGGACAGCGGCGGAGCACTCCCCAATTCATGGCAAGCATACATAACATCCTACATAGCTGACCTACGCGGTGCAAACAGGCACATATCTTTTCGCAGTCTGGAGATCACCAGCAGCACATGTCAATACCCCAGGACAAGCTGTACACAGTGCTGAAAAAGTTGCTAAACTAGATAAACGTGGAAACCCATGATGTTTTGCCTACGAGTATACACAAGCTGCTGCCCTTGACAATTTCCCCTTATTCTCCGTATCAACCCATTAAAAGAAAATAACATGGTCTGTGGAGTCTAGGTCAACCACTAAACGAACGAATAAGCTAGTTCTCGATTGAAAACAGTAAAATACAGGGATGAGCGACAAGATTTGCAACAGAGCCACGTGCAGCAAAACCACATCTGTTCCCAGTGGCGATGCACGTCGAGTCAACCTGTCAGACCAGATCCCGACATGCCTAGCAACAAGGCAACATGATCTGTGCTTGTCCCCGCCGTGCATCCCTAGCGTGCAGCTGCAAGTCACCTATGTATATATGTATGCCAGGGCTGAATGCACATCCACGCGTGTGGTCACCATAGAAGGATGAGTAAGATGTCAACAAGACGATTGCTACCAGCACTATCAACAAAACCCCGCACAGATCACCCCTGAGCAGGTACAGCAGCAACACAAATCTACCATATGTAGCTAAGACACAAACACAACGTGGTGGTTGCGTACTTGACAGCCATCGAAAGCAGTTTGACGCCATCACGATAACAGCGTGAATGACAGCAGCGGCGCTGCATGAGTCACCCGAGTCGGCAGTATCAATCAGTTTAATTACAATACATTGCATGTGTGCGCCGTAATCATCACGCTGCACAGCCACAGCACTTCTAGCTTCTCACTGGTACAACAGACACTACTGATCATGACATGATGGGTCTATTGTGGCATGCAGCAGGTGACTGGCAGCATCAGCTGATAACATCATCGGCCGTCAGGACGATAAATCCGTCACGCTTGCATCACGGGAGATGTCACATGTCAACTTTGTACCAGACGGGTCCTGACAGGTGGCTGTTTTTGCGTTTGCGACATGAAGCTCCAGCTACGCAACCCCCCAAAACCAGACGATGATGCCATTGCTGCATGTCAGGAGCGAATCTGCAGTGGCAGTTGGGGGTTTTGCAATCACCTTTTCGCTATTGTCAATTAGCACGCTGCAAACACACAACAAAGCAGAAACAAGAACGTTGGGGAAACGCACCTGCTCTGTCGTACGACTCGTGACACGTCTCGGTGAGATTCTTGCCAATCTGCATGTACATGTCTCTCTTGTCAGCCGGCGCTCCTAGAGATCCTAGCGCGTACATACCACCGCTGAAGCAAGCCTGAATAAGGAGCAGACACATACAGCCAGCAGCACAGTCCATTGACATGGGTGGAGGCTAGTCCTAGCTACGGGTGACAGTGTGCAGTCGACGCAGGTGCTACACAACTGCAACCAACTAACAACTGGGCTTGACACCTACCATGGCGCAATGGAACCAGTACAGCAACAAATTTTTTTTAAACCCCGGACTTCATGTCTAACAACCGTATATGGTAGGTACTAAGGGGATAAAGGGATACGGACAGATGCAGGACTGAACGGTACAGCATACCGTCCAAGCTATACATGGCCAGAGCGATGTATGGCAGGTGTTCAAGGGACTGGAGCCGTGGCAGATCTTCACAGTCGACACTCCTACAGTAGTACATGGGTATATACAGATGCACCAACAAATGCCCCCCCCCCCCCACACACACACGCGCGCTTAAGCGCTTGTACACACACACACACACACACACACACACACACACACACACACACACACACACACACACACACACACACACACACACACACACACACACACACACACACACACACACACACACACACACACACACACACACACACACACACACACACACACACACACACACACACACACACACACACACACACACACACACACACACACACACACACACACACACACACACACACACACACACACACACACACACACACACACACACACACACACACACACACACACACACACACACACACACACACACACACACACACACACACAATTGCATTCTACAAGGCGGGACAAGAATAACCCACAGGATGCCCATATGCCCATGGCACACTGGTCGCACACTGATCGCATGATACCAGCACCATGACACCGCGCAGCAAGACAATGATAAGTTTTACACCAGGAGAGCAAAGACGGCCCCTTAGTCTTACAAAACTGGCAGCTATCAAAAACCACCACCCAAGATAAGATAAGATTAGTGTTGGTAGAATGATGGCTAGTCCTGTGGCTGGTCAGCCCACTGCCAGCCTACTGTACACACATGATTTGAAGCCAACATTTTAGCACACAGCCATGTTGTATTCTGTGTATCACACATGTGATGAACATACTGTGACGAGAACAGGCAGTGCCTCGTGGCGCTCCCCGGCAGCTCAAGCCAATACGGAACTCCCCCACCAACACGTGTGCGGACTAATCGGAAGAAGCGTGTCAGCACGCAACAGCCACCGGCCATCCCACCGCTGGTGAATACTACTACCCCGGTGCTATTAGCATGGCAGTTTAAACACTGCAAACACTGACCACCCCATTGCTGGTTAATACCACTACCTCCGGTTGCTATCAGCACGTCAGCTTAGCAAGAGCACGGCCAGGGTGAGAAAACGGTTTTAACACACGCGAGTGTGGGCAAGTGGTTGTCAAGCGGAGGATGCCCGTCACACGTGGTCGTAAAACACCCTCCCCCTACTCCACTGCCCCACTGGTAGCATGTAACCCGCTAATCCACACGTGTACATGCTACATGCCCTCACACCTCCTCATTATCAGTTGAAAACAAGCCTTCCCAATCCGCCAGCTCTGGGGTGATAATTAATAATTAATTATCCATTCCTGTCACCAAACACTCCGTGATAAGCTGCTGCAGTTGAAACGTTGGAAGTACATGTAGGACGTACCCCAAGCTAAACTTCGACAACTTCTACAATCTAAAAACCTCCCTGCGGGCCAAGTTCATATGCAACACGTTTATAAGACTGCAATTCGTACATTTAATATACAGTAATCTCCGACGGAGTACACCCTCAGGCGACAATGAGGTTCTGTGGCACACACACACACACACACACACACACACACACACACACACACACACACACACACACACACACACACACACACACACACACACACACACACACACACACACACACACACACACACACTTGTACTTGCTCACTGCCAAAACTGGTCACGTGGGTCTCCCCGGGAGAGGGGAGAGAGACTCAAAAGGAATCTTGGAAAGATGACTCAATTGGTTATTGAACCGCCCAACGGCCGACACCCCCTGAAATCCCCAAATTAGGGTGGACTTGGAATGATCCCACTTATGCGCTTACCACACCTCAGTAAGTGGGTGAGGACAAGGTGCAGAAAAAGGATTGACGGCATCAGGGTATCAGTCCGGGGATCCAACTGCAGTTACCCCTGCCCCCAGTGAAGGTAATACTTGCTACTAGTGTGGGTGGCTAAATCAGAGTGGATCTGATATAAGCTTCACTAGCACCATTGATTACACAAGAGTTAATCTAGCCAGAAGCAGTCCATGGTTAACAGGTATTAATAGAAAGTATATGAACCCTGAAACCAACAAACGTGGTAGGTACAACAATACACCTTCAAGCAGCCGAGCCTGTTGGCAACAGACCCAACACTATCTGGCATAAGTGTACCCACCAACCGAACTAGCTGGCACACACACACACACGATCACTTACTAAATGGTCCATTTTCTCCAAAGGCCGCGTGTTCATGAGCTCCCGGAGATAGACGAGTTTCTTGGGATCATTCTCTGCTCTGGCAATCAACTGCTTGCCTATGGCCTGAACAACGCAAACAACACAAAATTCACTTCAGGATTGAGTGACAAGGCAACTTTTTATTAGGGCTCAAACAGTTAGTCCGATTAACCGGTTTTGAAAAGATAAAGGTGAACCGTTTGGGTAAAGGTTACGCGGGTACTTTTTCGAGTTTCCGAAGTACGCATTTTTACCGAGTTTTGGCAGTTTTACAACCTATCGTGTATGTACAGATGCATACATGCACACTACATAGTACCATCCGTGACAATTTGAATCAATTTCATGCCATCTTTAATGCTTCTGGTCTGTGAATAGGCGTGAATGAGCATGCCAACATGTGCTGCATGGATTAGTACTTAGTAGTAAGTCTGCAGGGTACATTTTTGACCAAGTATATTGTACAATACTGTTCAAACTAGCTACGCGCCAGACTGCCGCAGCTTAGAGGTTATAACAAGAGTCCATAAACAAGTATGCAACTGTGATCTCTTTTCTATGGGCCAGATGTGCGGCGCGCTGCCTTCATTACATCATTCAGCTGCAGTCCGCGCACTGCGGAAAATCAAACACCGCACTTTCCCTCCAGTTTGAAATGAACTTTCGTACGGAACTGGAGTTCACGCGCCAGAATTCAGAGATTGTGTAGGTACTGGAACGAATCGAGCAAAAACGGATGGGCTCGTGCGAGAAATTGAGAGTTTGGATGCATGCTTTCAGAGCGTGATGAAGGCAAGTAACGTAATGAAGGCAGCGCGCCGCGCACTGACCCATAACCACAGTTGCATACTCTTGTTTATGCACTCTTGGTTATAACCGATAAATCGACCGTTCGCGTAGCAGTTAACAGTTAAGGTGAAAACCGTAGTCGTTTGAGCCCTACTTTTTATTCATATTTTACTAGTCAAAGTGGATGGAAGAAATATAGAGCGACAGAAGAAAAAAATCTAGCCAGGGATGAGTGAGTGTGAAGCCAAGCACACGCTGATAGGAGAGAGCGCGATGTGGGGCATGTTCTGCAAGATTTGAGTGCATGTGTGATTGGTAGGTCAAGCGAACATTCTCCAACATCAAATCTATCATGCCAACAAGTATGGGACGTGATGTCAGCAAGGAATACACGTACACACACACACACATGCAGGCTTGTAGCTGCGAATGCATGCACATACGCCCAAGTCACAAGTGGGGCAAGTACAAACTGACGGGCAGAAGAACAGACGTACCTCAATAGCCTCATCAAACATCTCTCTGGCACGAGTGTCTTGCTTGTTGGTTTGCAGCCATGCTTTCAGTAGGTACTCATAGAAACTATCACCAAGGGCACCAAGAGATACATGTTCTGCATGTGCAGCCAACAACAACAACAACAACAACAACAACAACAACAACAACAACAACAACAACAACAACAACAACAACAACAACAACAACAACAAAACAACAACAACACGAATACAGATTTCAAACAAACAAACAACAACAACACATAGCATCTCATACACAAATTTTAGGATGCCTCTTCACGAAAAAGTACATGTATATCGAATAGGTATATAGCGAGCCAAAAGCGTGTCAAGTATTTTAAAGAGTATCTTACTACAAAAGGAGTTAATTTTTCCTGGAAGAAATTGGTAGTGTCTAATCCCTCCCCCTCCTCTCCCTACGGATGTCCACAAAATGTTTTTTTTCACCTAAAATGGAAATGTAAAATGTGCAGCAAAAACCCAAAATGTTTTTGGGATATTTTCGAAAGTTCTCTAAAAAATTTAAAAAATTGTAAAAATCACCCAAATTGCGAGAAAAATGTGAATGTTGCCATGGCAACCAAAATGGCGCTTCTTGTACCAGATATGGCCAGATCTACGACAGTACGAGTCGTCGAGCCGTATTGCCAGAATAGTACTATATGTATTAGTCTATAGCTATTCAAGAAACATCGGTGGAAATGGCGTGCAGCGAGCCAAGTGTGTTGACGCCGGAGGTCCACTCTGACTCCAATGAGAAGAGCGAGGAAGAATCCGACACCATCTCCATTGTAGAGTCTTCCGGGCAAGCCGCGAGTGAGACTCCTGAGGCAAGTTTGCTGGATAAATTACGCCCGCCCCAGCCATCGCAGCTGAGCAGGAAGAGAGCTATCAGTGTTAACAAGAAGGGCAGGTACAAGCCTCCATCATCCAGGAGATTACCGAAGAACATCAGCGCTGTGACAAGGTGCAAGCAATTTCCGGGCGAATTCCTCGTTGTCCGCTCAGGGAAACTGTACTGTGATGTTTGCCGACATGAGGTATCTAACGAGAAAAGTGTGCTGAAAGTGCATATTGCTTCCAAGAAGCATTTGGATAGCAAGTCTGGACGGGCGGAGAGAGCTTCTGAGGCGAAGCAGTTGCTCTTGGACGGGAGTGAGTTCATAACTACGAACAAAGCAAAAGGGACGACACTTCCGGATGAAGTAATTGTGTTCCGGATCAAGTGCCTCAGAACCTTGCTTGCGAGTGGCATTCCGATCAGCAAGATCGACCAACTTCGTCCTTTGCTCGAGGAAGGTGGGGAAAGGCTCACCGGTCGGCAGCATTTGTCCGAGCTCATCCCTGCCGTACTTGAGAGTGAGCAGAAGTTTGTGAAGACTACCCTTGAAGGGAAGGATGTCTCCATCATATTTGACGGCACCACACATGTGGCAGAAGCGTTCGCGATTGTTGTGCGCGTTATCGGAGATGACTTCCATGCCAAGCAATATGTCCTACGCCTGATGTTGGCAGCGAAAAGTCTCAAGGCTGAGGAAGTCGCGCATACACTGTTATACACGCTGGCCACGCGTTATCAAATCCAACCCTGTCACCTATTGGCAGCCATGCGCGACAGAGCAGCTGTAAACACAGCAGCACTCCGCACGATTCAACCCCTCTACCGTTTGATGATGGATGGGCAGTGCTTCTCGCACACACTGGACCATGTCGGCGAGAAAATGGAAACGGAGCAGCTCGACTCGTTCGTGAGCGCGTGGGTACAGCTGTTCTCGCACAGCCCAAAGGCCAGACTGGAGTGGAGGACCCGCACCGGAGTTGCTATGAAGTCCTTCAGCAAGACAAGGTGGTGGTCAAGGTATGAGGTGATCGACCAAATCCATGCTCTCTTCGGGGATGTGACGGAGTTCTTGCAGGAGGATGCTCCACAGATGGGGGCAGTGAGACGCCGACTGAAGACCATGATCGAAGACCTGAGAGTGCGTGCTGAACTGCAAATGCAGTTAGCCATAGTAGTGGAGTTCTGCCTTCCTGTGGTCCAGGCCACCTACAAGCTGGAAGGAGATGGTCCGTTGGCATTCACAACCTATGAAGTGATTTCTAGTGTCTGCAACTTCATGAATGCGGAGCCACTGCACCTGCCTTCCACTACGGCTGTCGCAACACGACTAGCTGGCGGAAACGCCGCTCATCAGCAGGAGTGGATGGAGTATGCACTCCAGTACCCACCAGCAGCCGTGCGATACTTCAATGGCAAGTTTGGAGAGGGTGGTCCCCTATATCAGCTACTAATGGCATTCCGTGCTGCCAGGTTATGCGATCCTCGGCAAGTGGAAACCCTCGACATCAACGTTGCCAAAGTGGACGATCTGGCCCTATTCCCCTCGGTATCAGCTGCTAACATTGGAGATCTGCAAGAAGAACTCCCTCGCTACATTGCTGCAACTGAAGACCTTGCGCAGAACCTCGATCCTCTTGCATGGTGGAAGCGACACGGCGATTCGCTTCCAGCGTGGTCTGCTACTTGCAAGAAGGTTCTGCTTCTCCAGCCTTCCTCCGCAGCGGCAGAACGGGTATTCAGCCTACTGCAGAACTCCTTTGGCCAAAGCCAAGAGTGTGCGCTGGAGGACTATGTGGAGGCCTCCATCATGATGCAGTACAACCGCTGAGCATTGTGACAGTGCATGGCCAATTGCCTGTGTCTGTTCCTTGAATCATCAACGGTTTCTGGTGTTAGTTGTAGCGTCTTTGATTCTTCCTCTTCTTTGCGCAATCACATAGTCACGTGTAAAACCGTCTTACTGAGCTCTGCTTTTTCCTCTTGTGTCTCCAAAGTCTGCTAGTCTCTGTAGACATTCACTGATAGTCTGTGCATAGAATCCGGTGTTTTCCATTATGATCTGTGCTACCACTGAATGTTCGTATCAGCATTGCATGTTTATTTCAACGGTTGCTAGACCAGGGCTCACAGTTTCATGTGCATGCCAGGTTTGCCATCAAGTTTTTGCATTCCTGTCCCTAAGTCTGGCCTAGGTCTACTCATTTCTCTTATTGTAACTTCCACAGTGGCATCATTGCCAATAATCATGACAGCTGGTCAGCTTGCCTAATTGCATCCTTCTCACAAAGGCTATGGCATTGTCTCAACATATGTTCTAAATGGTTACTCTCTTCAGAATAGTTGTCATGTTCCTCTCACGAAGTGGTGTGCAATGCTCTTGTGGGACGCCTGGCATGCACTCCACGTGCAAAGCCTGTGTGTGCACTGTAGGAATGTAACTTTATTTCTTTTAAAAATTGGCCCAAAATGGAAAAAAGTGTGAAAATTGCCCAAATTGCAAAAAAAGTGTGAAAACTACCCAAAATGCAAAAAAATTGGAAAACATTTTGTGGACATCCCTACCTCCCCCCCCCCCCCCCCCCCACACACACACACATCTACATGAGCAAACATACATGAGCAAGCACCCACACACACATACAATACACACACACAGCAGGGGCGTAGCTGGTCCCCCCCCCCCCCTTTAGGGGGACGCACAGCCGCATATGTGTAGGATGGCCGGTGCATGTCATTCATGGCCATTATGTGCATGCTGAACCTAGGTCGAACATATTAGGGGAGGTGCATGTTGCATGACACCACACTCGCCACCTCTTCTTCGGACCGTGACGAGGAGGGGGGGGCAGGCAGCTCGCCAAACAGCAATTGTTTCGGTGCACGCGAGTCGGCCATCCTGCCGACATGACCTAGCCAGCGAAGACTGTGGCGACGGATCATGCTGGTGATCTCAGGGTCAACACTGAGTGTAGCTGCTAATGTGGCCGTTGTGATGCGGTCATCCCACTGTTGATGACGGCCAATACCCACGATGGACCGAACACACTGATGGTGGAACGTGTTGAGCTTCTGGAGGTGACCTGCCTTGGCGGTCCACGTCTCCGCACCATACAAGTACACACACCTCTTGCTGCGAAGCGACATGGTCTAGCCACGCACACGCATACACACACACACACACGCGCGCGCGCGCGCGCGCACACACACACACACACACAAACACACACACACACACTACTTGCTGACTTACTCTTCCCCCAGTTGCCGTTTTCCGGAGAGATGTAGTTGTAAAACAGACCCTGTGGCCGATCCGGCTTGAACAGAGCTTCCCTGGCAGCATGTGCCTGTTGTAAAAAGCGGCACCAAACAACACACAGTTTATATGTATCGGGCATGAGAAAAGTGTTGTTATCCGCGAGTTGTCATTCTCATTAGGTTAAACGTATGCAGTCAAGTGGTTACGATGTCTGAATATAGTGTTGATGCATCTGAGGTCGTTATTCGAGAGGTTGACTGTTCTACACTGATAGTAATACATTCGACACTGGTCATCCTCAAAGCTTTTGCTAAATATGCGGATCACAGTCACCATATCGGAATGTAATAATTCCGACACACATAATAATTGTAATTGTGCCCGGCAGCGAATGGGGAACATTCTGACTGTCCCAGCCGGCTTAACCATATGCTCGTCACCTCTTTGTTCTCTTTCCTGCTGCTCTGCATAGGCTAAAGGGTAATCGGCTACAGTGGTGTATCGGATGTCGTGATTAAATCTTGAAACATCACAATCACAAGATGAATTCACTGAACAAAATATTTTCTCGGAAAAAACTCTTGTCCTCAAGAGTACATAACCCCCCAGAGTGTGCAACGCCTGATCCAGCTCTGCATAGGGTCTTGGTCGAGCGGAATCGGATCTTTGCGTCATAATACCGTACACATCTGAGGGGAACCCGGGGAGTCGCGGGTACTCTCGGATCAAAAACAATGGTGCCCTGCCTCGAGACCGGCCTTGCGCTGGTGTGGAGTGTACGCATGACATCAGAAGATCCGATTCCGCTCGACCAAGACCCTATGCAGAGCTGGATCAGCGTTGCACACTCTGGGGGGGGGGGGGGGGGTTATGTACTCTTGCTAATAGTAATAGGCGTTCTTTTTTGATCTACTGAAGTACAGGTTTGGGGAGAAACTACTTCTTTCCGTAGATGTGTTCTTTTTTTTTCTACCCCAAACGGTAGATTCTACTTTCCTCTACCGGCTCCACCAGGTTTGAGGCTGGTAGAACTCGGTAGAAGTTGGTAGAGGTGCGGTATTTCTGTACTTGTTTGACCATGATAGCTGGATTAAGGACTCGCACCTTGATCTGGTGAGCTGTGTCATGGGGATTTTGCAGTCAGATTGCGATTGCGACACAAGCAGCTCATCAGCAGTCGGTTAATCACTTGCCTGCAACCCGAGAGGCACACCATGCTGCAAGGACTTTGGGACGCTTGTGCAGTGAACATGACATTGTGTCACATGAGAACATGTACGCACTTTTAGAGCGGTCCTTCTGGCAATGGTAAATGTGACGAGCGTGGAAGCTGCCGCAGACTCACTACCTGCCTTGTTGCACAACTTAATCTCGTGGCTGCTTGCAGGTCAGTACAATGATGTTATCTGCATACAGCGTGAGGCGCAGTCCCAGCCTTGAGTCCATGCCATCCAAGCTGTCAGCAACAAGCCGAAAAACGCAAGCCAGCACACCACCGGACGTGATTTGGGCGCAAGTGTCCCTGAAGACCGATAGCCATGCCAGGGGAGAGAACAGTGTTCAGAGTCTCCTCTCTGACATCCTGCGGGAGCAACGTGCCCTTACTGAGCGCTTCGATGTCATGTCATTGGAATTTTCGGCCAAGATCGATGCTGTAATGGCCGAAAATCGAGCATTGAAGGAGAAGCTGGACATCTTCGAGGCTCGCCTTAATCGTCTTGAGAGGACAGGTACGGCAGTGTACCGTACGAGCGGTGAAAGGGATATGCCGCCCCGGAAGGGGTTGTTGGCACGTGCAACGTCGTCAACTTTGCTGCTTTGGTGCAGGAAGAAGTTGACCGTCAACAGCGCTGCAACAACGCCATTGTCCGCGGCATCCCGGAAGCGGACAGCAGCCTATTTGACAACTGCATCCGGATCCTGAAGATAGACTCCCATGAAGTCGCGCACGCAGAACGGATTGGAACTGAGCGGTCTCGAGGTCCCCGTCCTGTACGGATCAAATTCAAAAGCCAAGCCAGCAAGTCTGCCGTATACCGTACACGATTCAACCTCAAACTACAAGATGGAACTCCCATATATGTGGCCAATGACCTGACACGACAGCAACAGACACCAGGAAGAGCAACGTGACGAGCTACAAGGAGCTTCGACGTAGAGGTGTGAAGTGCTCAATGCCGTACGACGATATTCTCGACGAAACGTACAAACCGTACACCCCCCAGCAGCAGATCACACACCTCCTGCAGGAACGAGGCTCTGCTGATAGGGGTGCACTGGAACATCCGGGCACGCAATAGGATCGTCCTGGGAGTCCCTCGACGCCTACCACCTCGTCGGTAAGCCACCGGACCATTGCTCACACTAATACCGTAAAGTACCGCCAGAGCGCCCCACCATCTCGTCCTTTCGTGGCCGCCTTGTGGAGGTGGATTTCTGTCTGTAGGTCATACGACACGGACCTTGTACAAACATTGCACATTGTGCAGTCAATCCGTACCCAGTTTACCTTCGAGCTCCACATAAAAGCATACCAAGTGTGACCTTAGTACACGAAGGTTCTCACATCGTACAAACTTAGTAGCATTCTGCCATACAATTTTCTTCCCTTGGCTGTAAAATCAAGGTGGGGCGCTCTCGCGAGACGGGGCGCTCTGGCGGTACTTTACGGTACTTGTCGTAATGTCACTTTAGCTCTTATAAATATTAATATTTGTAGCCTCAGAAATAAGGTTCAGGATATTCACAAACTCTTGCACGATCATAAAATTCACATTCTATCCATTAACGAGACACACCTGGACAGCAGCATTCCCGATTCTCTTTTACACGTTCCTGGCTACACATTGTATCGACAAGACAGAGATCTACATGGTGGAGGAGTATGCATGTATGTGCACGCGTCTCTTGTTTCCTCTCCCGCCCCAACGCAATATATAGGAGTGGAGTGCATATTTGTACGTGTTCGCATACCGTCTTCCAAACCCAAATCCAACGAGCTGGTTGTGTGCAGCGTGTACCGTCTACCCAACGCAAGGGTAGAGTTCTGGGAACTCTTCAGCCTTCAACTCGACAACATTCTACGTCAGTTTTCGAACTTTATTGTCCTCGGTGACCTGAACACGGATGTTCTGCAGCCTCGCAGTGGACACTACAAACATCTCCGGAATACGTGCTGCGAGTTTGATCTCAGGAATGTTGTCACTGCTTCCACTCGTCATGGGCAGACCTGCATCAATTTGGTACTTGTTTCCACTGGAGTCCAGCTTACACAGACAGCAGTGCACCCTGTGGACGGTATCAGCGACCACGACCTAGTTATAACCCACCTAACATATCCAACCATGTCTACCTGTCCACTCTACACAAATATCAGGAAGCCGAGCGCCACAGAAATAGACCGGGACGCTCTATGCCGAACCGTGGACGAACAACTGACGTCATTCCCCCTTGCAACAGATGTAAATATCTTGGCGAACAGCCTAACAGCCGTCCTCACGTCAACTTACGACAAACTCTGCCCCGTCCGTCGCGTCTGCGTACCATCCTTCAGCAAACCCAAACCTCAACCCTGGCTAACTCCTCACCTGCGATATCTTTTACAGCAGCGTAAGCATTTGCATAGAAAGGTTCGGTCCTGGTCCTTCGGCGCCCACGCCAACCTGTGCCGCATCTACCAATCCCCCTAGTTTGTAAAGGCAAGCCCCTCACCCTTGCAGCCACCGTGAAGTATCTCGGACTACTCATCGACGAGCATCTCACCTTCCAGCCGCAAGTCGAGAAGGTCTGCGGTGAGGTGTTCGGCAAGATTGCCGCCTTCAGACATGGCCGAAAAAAACCTAACACCTGAAGCGAAGAGGACGTTCTATTTATCCATTGTGCAATCGACTCTCGACTATGCCAGTAACGCTTATCTGCACTGTCTCAGCGCCACCCTGTTCAATAAGATCGTGACGGTCAGTCACATAGCAATGAAGAAGGTTTTTGGGTTTGACCGTATGATGTCTACTGAAATTGCTCTCCGCAAATATCATCTCTATTCTGTTGAACAGCGCATACATCTTAACTCTATGTTTTCGTGTACCGCTGCTTGACCCCACATCTTGCTAGTCCCCTTCTCCAATCCTTGTTCCAGCTTAGGGCTGCTGTGCCTGGACACCAGGCTCGCACGCGCAGCCAGGCACAGCGTGCATTAGTTCTTCCGCCTGTTTCTACGCAATATGGCATGCGTTCTATTTCTTTCCTGGCGGCAGACAGATGGAATGCTCTTGCCACTGACTGCCGTCAGGCCCCGTCTCTTACTCTGTATGTAAACATGGTAAAATTCACCTAGGGTTCCCAGTAAAAAGGCAACGCCTGTTGGGACTCCCCTAGTAAAATAATAAAATCTACTACCACTACTACTACAGCGCACAGAGACACGCGATAGTAGCATCGCCAGGCAAGTGCTGTCCCTTGGTCAGGACACGATGCAAGATAACAGCTGTTTTGCACCAGGAGTCTCCAGTCCAGGCATTGTCTCCATGCAGGGATGCTTTCTGGAGGCACTGCTCGCGGGCTAACTATCAAGCAGGTATGTGGTATACAGTGCCTTATTCCTAGTCCTGTGGACATTCCGTCAGCACAGCAGCATGGTCAAGGTAAGAGCATACTTCGAAGAACACCATATCAAGATGACCCGCATGAGTTCAGTCACTGTTTGCATTGTCTTCATGACATGAACAAGGATGGCAACTCAGGAGTGATGGAAGTCTCAGTATAGATTGGACTGGCCTGCCACCTGCACCTCACTCTATCCTGGAGTTTCTTCGATGTGGTTGCAAGATCGGTTGCAGCGGAGGAAGCTGCTCATGCCGACGCCATGCATTGCCGTGCACGGATACATGGGCGTCGCCGCAATTCACCAGCGCCTTGCACCAACGCTATGGAAGAACTTGCTGCATCCATGTCGCTCCTTTTCAAGCTATTATACCTTCCCCCAACGAATCCGCTTAAGGCCATGCTGCCAGCCCCAGCCGACCCACGCCTTCCGTGCAGACCATCGACCACGCTGGCTACTAAGGCCGCTCACTAACACCCGAACCAGCTTAAGTCAACACTCCCCGCACGAACACGAAGCAGCCAGGTTCCCCGGTTGTGCCATCCCAACATGGAACAGCCTGCCAGGACACGTCTTGCGATCCGCACCCACGACAGCTGCAGTCCTTCCAGGAAAGGTGCCATAAGTACCTGCTGCGCCTTGACTGGCAGAGAGCAACTGACGCTCTTTGATTTTGCTAGTGTCCCAAAACTGCTATGACCAACTCATTCGCACAGGATCTTGTCCGTATGAAAATTGCGCTAATAGTGGGCGCGGCACTTCCGTATACATGTCTTTCTCTCGTCTTGTTTTCCCTCTCTCTTATGTCCTTCTCTATTAATCTTTTCTTGGCGCGCTTTGTCTGTGCAGACGCCGAGACCACCAAGGTCGGCTGAGCAGCAGGGCCCCGCCACCACTCGCCGCATTCATTCGGGAGCATAGAGGACTTTAATAGTTCTTCACGTATGGTAGCTATGTGACTTTAATCCTGAACAGTTAAATTAGTTTCAATCCCTTTGTTTTACCAAACCTGGTCTTCCGGTCACAATATACACAGAGATTGACTCTGATTGTCCAATATGCTGCCGAACTCTTTCCATGAGTTCTAAACAATGACTTAATAAGTTGATGCTGGGTTGCTTTCTGTTGAGGTGCTGACCCATTGTGGTAGGAACGCAATGTTGGCTGATGTATACTTTGTTGCCGGTGTTTTACTGAGTAACATTGCAACGAATCACGCACTGTATTTCTAAGGACCACTGCATTACTGTAAACCATCACGTTGACTTGCACTTGAAGTAAATGCACTCCTTCTCAGGCCGATACCTGGCCATCGTTCTTTCTCATATTTTTCATACCGGTAATTTTTTGGGGGATTAACATGTCTCATGTCTTGCTGCACCAGCGTGGTGCATTGTTAACGTCTTTGAATAGCATGCTGCAGATCATCAAGTGTCTGCTCACCTATAGTATTGCTCCTTTTCTTCGTTGTTTTCTCTCTCTTTTCTTCCCTTTATCTTCTGGTATCATGTCTAACATTGGGAAATTTCTGCTTTTACAGTATGCGACATTACCGTAGCCGCTATAGTGATAAAGTCACTATAATCCACAGTCCATGCCATAGCCAGTGCAGATTGTACATGTGCATGACTGTGCTTTGTACACCTGGCATGCACACAGTGTGAAGGCGGGGATGGATAGTGATGTGTTTTCCAATTGGTTGCGTAGTGCACTTCACAGCATCTCACCTTTTCATGGAATTCCTTTCGGCCGGTCAGCTCTGTCAGGTAGGCCATTTCCAGCTGCATCGTGCCCACCTCGGCTAGGATTGATGCTTTGCCTGGTGACCAATTCCAGTTCTTCCCCTCACCCCTGTGGGACAAGAGCAAAAGAACAAATCTCTTATACTGTAAAAGCAGAAATTTTCGGTGGTGTAATATTTTCAGTATTCTCCAAAATCGGCGGTTTGGCGGAGGGAAATTTTCGGTAAACCCGCGTTCCAGGTAAGTGTACTAGTACTTTACCGACATTTTCGGTGCGTTTTATTTTCGGTAAAAATTTCGGCACCGAAGTTACCGAAAATAAAACACCACCGAAAATTTCTGCTTTTACAGTAGATTTAATCACAGATACGTGTACAAGGAGCCTCATAACGGAACCAAAACCAACACAGAATGGAGTTACCGTATATTCTCTATTATAAGCGCTGTGCTTATATTTTTTCAACACCCCTCTACCCCGTGCTTATATTGGAGACTGTGCTTATATTTTTTCAACCAATACATCCATACAGAGCAAAAAGAAATACATGCTAGATATCATGCATGCAGCATTGCTTTCCACCAAGACCGTGCTAATAATAATAGAGACTGTGCTAGTAATGGAGACCTGTGCTTATAATAGAGAATATACGGTACTGGAGAACGGCCACCTAATCAAGAGAAGCCCGTGGCAAGGATGGGTGCGAAGAGTACATAATGCCCAGAGTGTGCAATTCTCATCTCCGAGCTATGGGAGCTCTGCGTGGCGAGCTGCCTTCATCATGACATGTTGTAGTGAAATGACGTACAAAACCATCCGAAGTCCCTAGGAAAACCGTATTCAAAAGCTGGAACCCTAGCAGAGACATGTAAATAGTGCTGCAATGGCCCAGCTGATTCCCCAGTTCATGGCTAAGTAACGCGGGCAGTGCGCCACGCCAGACCCAATGTGCAGCGTTGCATACTTGTGAGGTTATGAACTCGTGCTATCGCCAATGCTATTTCATCTATACGAGTATAGTCAGAAACGACCCTACAGGAGCTAGAAAGACAGTATGATGTATTGTATATGCACGCACTGACCAACAGTTTACTTTCCAAACCCATTCGTATCCTCTTCGCCTTTTTCTCTATGTTCATGAAGTCCCACAACGGAACTGTAAATCAAGTAAGGCAGTGAAAATTCCTAAGCTTTCGAAGTGAATCTTTCTCTGCAGAAAGTTGAAATGATCCCATAAGATTGAGAGGTGAACAGGCAACGTGTGGATTGCCCTGTTCAAAATAAATTAAA